CGTACAAAATGCTAAAGAGATCTTACAGACAGAGTGCTTTAGATTGTGTTCTTGGTGACAGAAAATTGCATGCAAAAGGTTTACTTTGTGTGTTTCGAGAGATACCTCCATGGGGGTTGGTAAGAGGGAGAAACTGACCACCAATATTGTTATAATCCGGGGTTTAGCAAATTCTACAGGGAACTCTGGAGCTGAGATGAGCCTTTGAAATTATTTCCAGTAGTGCAAGGGGACCTGACCTTTGCATCCTTGCATTAGTCAGTCCTTGGCTATAAGCCAACCTCTAGAGGGCTGTAGTCTGGGGCCAGAGAGTTCTCTGCCAAGGCCACTGCCTAGGAAAGGGACACAGCTGTGAGCCATCAGCAGCTGGTAGCAGGATGCATCAACCCTGAAATGGGGAACAGAATATGAAAGGATTCTTTATGGAAGTCATTCTTGATCAGGGAGGAGAGTAGGAAAAATCCACCTGTTGAAATTAAAGCAAAAAAAAAAAAAAAAAAAACCACCCAAGACCCAACATCAGAAGAATCAGATCCTAACAAATCTGTTGCCAGTAAGACTAGAGTTTACCAATTCTACTAAAGACTCTCAAATCCAGTGGGGAGGACTTGGTATGTTCCAGAGCTTTCCAACAGATGTACTAAGACCTATGGATGGGCATCAATGAGTCAGAGATATGTGGGCATTTTTGCTTCCTTCAGACTTCAGGGTTGCAGAACAACCTGGAATGGCTGGAGTCTCTCTGTCAGTTCTTACAAATCTTGTTTCGTGGGTGCATGAAAAAGCTGGGAAATCCTGGTTTATAAAGAAAGTTGCCATCCACTCAACTGTACCCAATAATATTGGAGGCAACTGGGCATCACCAAGGGAGATGGTCTACAAATTCACACAACACTGGTTGGTGCTTCTCAAGTACTATGCCAGGCCCTGATCTGAGAATCAGACATTTTTATCCAGAAATGTCTCCAGAATGCAGAAGGATAGTTCATCCCAGTATTCCAGCAGGATGACATTGCCTTATGAACAAGAATGCTCTTGAAACTGTGCTGTGCTTTTGTCTAAGAACATCTCCTTTATGTCTGAGCATCCCAGGTGGGATTATTCTGAGGACTCCTCTGAGGAAAGGCTGGGCATCAATGATCCTACCTGATACCACTCCTTGATGAGTCTGGATCACATTTGTCAATAAAGGTATTATTTAGAGAATCAGCTCCAGATGGCCTGCTTATCCGAGTAACTGATGGAAATAAGTTCCAGACCCACAAAACTGAGGGCCAACGCATGGCATGGATCATAGTGATCCAGTCTGGAGGCCCCAGAAGTTTCTATTTTGTCACAGGGCACAAAAGAACTCTCTATCTAGACCTGGGCAGGATGAAAAAGAGATTGATGACAGACATCTGACTGATAGTTCCTCTGGGAACTATCTGAGTTCCTATGGCAGATATTTAGGTAATATTCTCTGTAATCTCTGGTCTCAAAAGCAGACTAAGGAAAACACTGGAACCATTCTCAGAGGGTCAGTTGAGCTGGAAAAAATAAATGTTCTAATTTAAGATTATGGGGACGCATTTATGTCCACAGAACCTGTCTCATAGGTTGGGAATCTGCCAGCCAAATGGGTCTGGGTACTTTAATCCTGCTTGTAAGACCACCTAAGAGACTGGATGGAATTGGGATTTTGCTCCTTCAACCCATCTTCCAATATTCTCTCTTCTCACTTTTTTTTTCTTTTTATTATTTATTTATTTATTTATTTTTGGTACAGGGGATTGAACCCAAGGGCATTTTACCACTGAGCTATATCCCCATGCATTTTTTTTGTTGTTGTTGTTTTGTTTTGTTTTGTTTTGTTTTGAGACAGGGTCTCACTACGTTGTTTAGGGCATCATTGAATTTCTGAGGCTGGCTTCAAACTTGTGATCCCTCTGCCTCAGCCTTCCAAGTCACTGGGATTACACGTGACTCTCTCTTTATGAAAGAAAGTAACACTAGATGTTTCCCTGTGTAACTGTGAGCTTTGACCCAAGCCCTTAGGCTGCTTGGCCTCAGAATTGCCCCAGGATTAGATCTCAAGAGGAATTTGGGCTGGTCCTGCCTTCTCACTGGGCGGCTAGGGAACACATGGTCCTCTTCACTCCCCTTCTCAAGAAAAAAGGAAGAGGTAAAGTGACCTGAAAACTCAACCCGATCCGAAAGGCTGCAGAATACAACAGACATGAGTATGGCAATATATAAATCAATGGAAGTGTAACTGATGTGATTCTGCAATCTGTATACGGGGTAAAAATGGGAGTTCATAACCCACTTGAATCA